GGGGACGTTGTCCTGCCGCCAGTTTCAAATACTTTGTCAAATTCTGGCCTATGTTCAACTTATCATGCATGGTGTATACGGTGAACCTGCCCTTGCGGCAGAAAAAATGACCACCAGAAAGCATCATTATGTGGCGACGTACATGTCAAGACTGGATGAGACTAGTGCCTGGTCCGAATAACAGAGGGGGAAAGGCCGGCTGCGTCAGAACACGAAGTGCGGCAGCAGCTGTCGTGATGGGTCTGCGATGCCTATGTCTCCCGGCTATTGCCCCCGTCGACGAGTCGATGCATTACTGACCTTCACCGACAACGGTAGCAACTTCTCGTGCATTGGCAATGGTTTGGGCGACATCATGAACCCTGATATCGTTGCCCTACCGACGGCCCGGACCTCTTCAGGAGGGTGCTGAGGCCTGCTGAGGCAAGGGGTGCATAAGCACGCCCTTCTGCGGTCATCATGGCACCTGATGGGTCCAGCATAGGGCGGACAAGGCCGACATAGCGCAGTATCCGCCGTACACGGGCACTACGCCTGGCCACAGAGCGGTTTCTGATGCATAGTAACCGCAATGCACACGTACTTACCACAGAGGCACATGGAGCGAAGGAAGAATCGCGAGCGGGAGTGATAAGATAACCCTTTATGTGCAAGTTTAGCGAACTAAGAGGTCAACAAACACTTCGACTGATTGCAAGATGTACATTTACGTTGCAAATTTACATCGACGTCCCCCGATGACTCTTGTTTTAGTGCGACCCTTTCGACTGGTATGCCCAGCCTCATATGACCGACTGACACGTGCGCAACACCTCCCTGCAGAGCAACAAGCGTAAACAACAGGATGGGCAAAGAACGACAGAATAAACGTACAGGTCCACGACAGTCGATACATTGCCATTCAGCGTCTGAGGGCAGCCACCACTTTGGGAAGCTGGGCCCACGCTACAAGACGATGTTACGAATGTCGACAAGATTGCATACATTCCTGCACATACCCTCTCTGGCTTTCCTCGTTCATGTTCGGCAAGGAAGACATAGCAGACGAGGATACGATAACACTGGCAAGAGTTGAGATCAGCCCGAGTTTATAAAGCACATCAAGCGGTGCCATACGTGATCGTGCAACCTGACAACCCCGATAAGGTTGTTGTCAGCCTAGTTTTGACTAGACAGATGCGTGGGGCAGTCTCACCTGGCGGCAGCAAGATGGTGTTCATGGTCACTGTAAAATACCTTGCGTGTCAGCATGGCAGACTCACGCGATGGCGGATATGCACCCACAACTTAAATCAAGGATGTACAGAACCTATTAGCGCACCCTTTTGTTATTAGACGAGGAAGAAGCGCGCAAGGGCATACTTACGGTGATGGATATGTAGATTAGAAGCGTAACTATGACATAGCTTGCCCCCTGTGTCAGTAATGGCGACCAAAATGGCGATCCTCTTGCGAGCTGCTTCCTACGCATGCCTGAGACAGTCAGAACCAGGATCGAGACATCCCAAACGATTGCTATCAAACCATGAGCCGTCAATAGAGAGAATGCAAGTTCCACCTCGATGGACTGACTTAACAGCAAAAATGCAATGAACGGTTTGCGCACGAACTGGGTACCAGGGGCGCACATGTGGTGAACTGGGTCCCATTTCTGGCGAACTACTAGGCTGCCCACTAGCATGTCTGTCAGCTTCACGTATCACGTTGTCAGAATGTTCTCTTACAGAGTATGGCGTAAACTAAATGGCCTACGCATATGCTGAAAATACCCCAGTACACATCTCGTCTATCATTCCAAAGTGCCATTCTGTACATGTGGGAAGGGAATAAGATATTTTTTGGCAGAAGCTGTATCAAGACCGATGAGACAAGAGACTCACGCGCGCAAAGCAAGACTTCCGCTGGACGCGGCCACTGCAAGATTATCCATGAGCTATGCCTGAATAAGATTCAGATGGTTGTCCATTAAGCAGATAGTCACACCGCAGTGAGCTTCATCAGACCTAAATAAGGCCCTCAGAACGTTAGCAAGATAAGATAGTACGCAGCGCGGGGCAGTACCTAAAGAGTAACAGTGGTTAGTGATAGGTATGTTCATGTTTGTGATCACAGCTCTACGAAAAGCGAAGCTCGTAAGCTGCTCGGATCTGAGGAACAATGCGAGACTTACAATGCAATAAGGGAGTAAAGATGAGAGTAGCGTGCAATTAGGTAACAAACCTGAGCAGTGCAGACCGGTGAGCGTACGGTGAGAAGAGGCTGAGCACCTGAACAACATACGTGAGCCAGCTGAAATTTTCTCCTACACGTCACGAGGCGTAGCTCGACCTCATGCAGCGACAAGACAAAGTACCAACTTCCGAAAGGCGTCAGGACTGGTATATCCTACCAGAGTGAAGCGGCCACTCACGCATAGAGCCCGAGTGAGAATATGACGTTGGATGCGAACAGATACGAGGTTAGAGCGAGCATTTCCGGGCTTTTCCAGTCGACCATCGTACACGCCGTTCCAAGGCTGAGAGGTAGCGGGGCGAGCAGAGGCTAGCGTTGGCCTGTACTATTCTGTGTGGTCAAGGCATTGCGATCTAGCCATAAATAAGGGGATTGCTACAGCTCGTAGACTGTACCACAACTGCTGCGCTGTCGGGTTAGGTGGAAAACGGAGACAGCTACGCTATCAATGTCGTCCGCAAGCGAGACGATCCGTCGGGCCAAGCATGACCGACTGACATGTCGTGATGTTGGAGCTAAGGTAACCAACTCCAAGAAGCGGAGGCCCACGTAACTGGAAAGCTTCCGAAATATAAGACAAGCAAGCGCCCCCGGGTGCCTTCCAGTCATCCACCTTGACGCAGGGCCCGACTGAAGATATCGACTGCGACTCAAATGATGGACAGGCAAGAGTGCTTAAATACGCAATTCCGTAGTCATCGTGCACTTGGCGAACTCGGCCCGAGGGTCGAGAACAAGCCCTTGGGCGCTACCTGCCGTGCGTGCATGCCACGGCCAGCGAGTTATAAGCCCGTGACTTGCAACTTCGGCGTTCGCCAACCTCCAGCGGTAACCACCGGTGTTCGCCGGTGGCCATTGGTGTTTGCCGGCGGTCCTTGCCATATACGGGTGCGTCGCCGTGAGCGCTTGTGAACACCACCGTTCGTTGTCCACTGGAACCCATCGGAATACAGCAGCAACTGGTGAATATTGCTGTGTATCAGTGGCAAGTAGTGGGGTATGTTGGGATATACCAGTGTTCAGCATGTCATGCTGGCTGCCACTGGTATTTGGTTCGGTCGATTCACATGGCAGGTGGCAGACACCACCAAACACCAGTGACATCCACTGGCAGGCAGCAGCCACTATCCATCAGCATATGCTGTTTATTGTTAGTATATGTCATTGAATAATAATTTTTGGCATTTTTCACTGGTCTTTGGGTAGAAGTGTGTGACATTGGGCCATGGTGTGTGACTTGCTTTCCAGGTTGGGCTA